TCAGTACGAGACATTTACCACTTAGAACGAAAAATAATATATGATAATTATTACACTACCTATTATATAGGTTGAATTATTTTAGCATGAAATATATTTTTTATTTTAATATTTAAAACTGAATTTGAGGCTAATTATCACAGTGTAAAATATTTTTTTTTCATACATTTTAGTGAAATTTTCCTTAGAAACTTCCATAATTACAAAGATTATATAATATACGTGTTTTGATTTTCATTTGTTTTAAATGCTTCTCCGTTATCTTAATTATACTTAAAAATAAATATTCTATCTTCCAGCACCGATACATAATTTCTTTACTTAAACTAGAAACCGAACCATTTTTTTCTGCGATATAAAGAAGCTATCTCGGAACCGGATCTGAAAATCTATTAATATTTTAATACTCTGCTTTAAAAATTATTTTAGGTAGGGTGTAGGTACAATACAGCCCAGAACACAATGAGATGGTTTAGGCGTCAAGTTATAATATGATAATGACGTGATCATAAAATCTGTTTTTGTAACATCAACGCCTCGTTAAGTAAAAATTATACACGTCAAACGTCAGTGGTGTCGATGAAACGGAAAATTAATTTTGCGCTCCGTCGAACTACGATGATTGGCGATTAAATGGTATGATGTAGAAAAAAATGTATATTCGTTATTATCTTCAGTAGGTACATATAGTTATGTTAAGTACATAATAAAAACGTTATAACAATATAACTCCATTATAATGATGATAATAATAATATGCTCACAACACTGATGTCTTATACTAATATAATATTATAAATGGCATGTTTACATTGTTATAGCGGTATTATTCGTTGTTGTCGACGGTTTTTGATATTATTTTAACTATACATTTTTTACTATCGATGAAACGACGTCATTAGGTATAGATACCTACTAAATATTATAATTTGAAATTCCTTGTTTTTAAAATATATTTATTGTAGGTATCAACAGTCAATATTTAATTTATGTTAAAACGTATTCATTAAACCGACCATAATATATTAATTCCAAAAACAAATGACGTGCCCACTCCCCTCTACTAACAGAGTCGAGTCATAAATATTTTATAACATAATCGATACAGTTTGACATATTTCTAGTAGTGGTATAATATTTACAATGGCTGCTAAAATGTATGGATATCTTTGGAATGCACATCGGAAGTAACAACTTTTATGACTAAATTATTAAATGTTTTCTACGAAAAACTGCATAATGATGTTATGTTTATGTTTATAAACATATTATTCTAACGATTTAGTGAAACAGTTTCTCGACGTTTTCTTCAATAATAATATTACGTGTTACCCCAACCCGACGCATTAAGTTGTTGGTAGACTGCAAAACCGTTTATAAAACTTAAACCATCATATTTGACACATCTCAATTTAAATATAGATGCCATGCGTTGAATATGTGTACAGTAATTTCCGTTGCAAAACGGTACATTGCGAGAACTGAGAAAATCGTCTTATTATAATATATTCAGCAACACTTGTCGCATTTCTAGGACCACACAATATTATTATTTAACATAATAATATAATATCGTGAACATAGGGTTCAGCTGAATTTATAGTATTGAAACCATGATAATAATAATAATATGTCATAATATATTATGTTCAACAACGCTCGGTGCACATGGAGTGAGTTGAGTTTTTTCGTTACTAGGTTTAAATATTATGAATTATATAGTTAAAGTATGTTACATACAATAAGCGTTCAAGGTTTAATTTTTTTTCCATACACATATTTGAAACATATCCAAATATAGAATTTAATCGCATAATACATTTTGCAAATAACATGATTTATGGGATATTTTTTTATTATTTTTTTTTATTGTAGAATCGTATAATATGTAACTAACCTTTTTTTTTCAAAAAGCACAAGTGAAGTTTAAAGGTAAATATAAAATAAGATAGTAATAAAACGAAACAAATTAAATGAGATGGTTTTATAAAGACAGAAAACTTGATCGTTGGAGCCATCCATTGATGGAATTTTATGACATTGGTTACAATATCATGTTAGGCGGATGAGAAGAAAATAATATGTTATAATATTTTTAGCTTACAGTTTTGGTTTTTATGAAACTTGAGAGATCAGTGATGACGAGTGCTATAAGTGGATTTAAAAATGGATTTCAATTCATCCAGGGACTTAGAAATTGAAATGCCATTGTTGATTATTATAGTAGAATTTGATTTGAATGATTGGTGACCCACAGTTACATTTACACACGAATGGTAAATTGTAAATTTCAGTTGCTGATTGATGAAATAGCTGTATTCAGAATTGTGGTGTGGAGTTGGATGGCAGTGGTTGTTGAAATTTTTACTTTTAAATGTCGTGATATTTGCAATTATTTTGTTTCTATACATATTCTATTCTTCTCAGAGGTTATATTTTGATAATAGATCTAGCAATTTTGTGTGGGAAGTGTAATTTTCCTCACATTTTTCACATATGAAAAGATATACAAAGTAGGTCCGGGTAAGGTCATAGTTTCAGAAATTTCGATACCATATTAATTGTCACCTTATTTAGGGTTCCTTTACTTTGGAATCGATATCAACAAAGGAGAGGGAAGTGAGGTTTTTATTTGATGGTGCTTGATATTGTTAACATTTCTTACAGTGTGACATGCTGATGCAATCTTCCTCTCGAGTGGATGGATGGAAGTTTCTCTTAAGAACTCTCATGGGGGCTTACCAGATTATAGTAAGTTTACTGGTATGATATTGTGCTTCGATGTCTTTTAGAATAAGAATAATTGTTCTATAGTTCTCAAAAGTATCTATTTGAATTTTTTAGATGAGTGAAAGATGATCTAAAAAATAAACTGATTCTTAAATTTTTTTTTATAGTCACATTTAGTAAAGATGCGTTAAATAAATTGAATACAGGAGGCAGTAAACTATTTTTTGGTGTAGTATTTGGTGTTGTTAGGTTGCCGCTGATTTAGTTTCTGTTTAGCCGTTGATATAGTATTATGTGTTTTGGTAAACATTTATTGCCAGCTCCAACTTGGTTGAAGTTCCAACTATTTTTTTTTACTCTGTATTAGGACACACACACAATAATGCATTGTGTTTGCATCCCAGATTAATCTATATTTTCAAAAACACAAGGTGACTTAATATTATATTTAAAATTATAATATTCACATATTTTGTTTAACTCTCAAAGAGTGTTGATTTTTTGTCGGTTTACATATTTATTACATTATCAATATACAAAAAATAATAATAAAATAATTTTTGTTTTTAGTGTGTTGTACTGCCAACGGTATTTAATCTCATATCCAACACTCTAAAATCTAATATCATATAAAATAAATCATTTATTTTTAGAAACCTTCCAATTGGTGTATAACTAACAAAGCCAAAAAAAAAAATAATGACATAAATAAAATCAATAGATTTTATCAAAACAAAAATCGTCGTCGAATAACCACCAAAGGCACAGACATTCCACAATGTCTAAATTTCCATTATTGTGGTTATTTCGGTTGGTGTATCTCACGCTCTGTGGTGTTATGTGCTACAATTCACATTCATCGCATTTTTGTAATACCGAAAAAGGTATATAGGTTGTTAAATCTGTAATAAAATTTTTGCATAATATACATATTTACAGTAAACATTATCCGACTAAAAAAATCATAAAAACCAAGCATTGTTTTTATTTAATAGATATTTGTTTTAATTGACATTCAAATTAGGTTTATAGAGTTTAAATAATATCTTAATAGTTAATATACGATTGCAAAATTGATTTCCAAATTATTTTAGATCCACAGAAATATTATAATATTGTTTAATATTATCATTGACATAATGCATAATACATAACAAAAATAACGTGGTTTGAAGACAATATCAATTATTGTAAAATTTGAAAAAGAAATGGAGCTATACATATAAACCAGGACAGTAATTATAGGGACCGATATATTTTGTGAAAATAATTGTCTGCAAATACAGGAATCGTAAAAACGACATAAATCAGTAAAATGAATGTACTACTATCAGTTAGGAACAGTGTTGATTAGGATAATAATATTAGTATGAACTGCTGAAACCGAAACCAATATTAAATATGAATCTTATTTTATAGCATGGGTACGATCAAGACAATATAATATGATTGAATTTTAGAGTATAATAAGGTTCTTATTTATTATAAGTTCTGAAAAATACGGTCATGTATAATATTGCCCCAATCAATACCATTTTCATACCATTTTCATAAATTAATATTCCTTTTTAATATCGGTCCTGATTTTCGCAGTTCTGATTAAATTATCTTAATTTATATAATCCCTTTCTAAACTGAAGTTTATTAATAAATAAATATTACAAATGTTGGAAAAGTGACACATCATATAATTGAACTCATATATTTTGTACATTAAAAATGTTATTTGTAATTGTTAATTATTGACGATGGCTGAATTCCCATTTATTTTCCATTAGAAAATACTTTCAAAGGGTCTTCACCATTAAAAGATAAGTAAAATAAAATAGTGTTTTTTGCTTTAGTTAAAAATGATGAAAGTTTTAAATGATTTCGAATCAATCTGCTTTAATCTTCTGTAGGATTTTATACTCGATACAATTTTGAAATACTACAACCAACGTTATAAACAGCTGGACAAGACGACAATAGAAGTTCTTTAATTGGTTTGGTTAAATATCGTTTTTACTCTAAACTATATATTATATTGTACTTTTATCAAAAATGTGTATGGGAAAAACGTAAAAAAAAAAATAACGAATTTCACTTAAGATTAATGTACACACACGTCTCAAAAGAACGTGTACGTCTATATTTTATTTATTTTCCTATACTTCGAGTCTCAAGACGTTATATTTTTTTTCTTCAAATCAGAAATAAAATTATTTTCTTTTCCAAACATTGTACGTCAGCGGAGAATAATATTGTCATGTTTTTGTGTTTGTTTTCAGGCGTGGAGTTGGTGGTTCGAGACGCACAAGGTGGCGTCAGCGTATACAATGTCGAAACAAATAAACACAGGGTACTACTCACGAGTTCGTCTTTTGTAAGTGCCAATTTACTGGTATCAACTGAGCATACGGTTTTCGCTGATTGAAGGCAGATTTGCAAAGCAATAAGGTTTTTTTTTTTTTATTGTTTTTCCCGCTCGGAATTGCGTTTCCACGTTCTGGCGTGGATTGTTTTTAAAGGGGAAAAAAATAACAGCAAATAGCAGTCGACTGATCAATGGTTCGTGCCAGCCGTCTACCGAAAGACCAATTGATTCGAACGGCTTTTGAGTAATCCCGAAACGATTAACTGGGATTTAATCTCTATAATATGAAACAAAAACCAGACACGATGCGCATCTGTCATACTTAAATCATTTCTATTATTTTGTACACAGTTTACGAAGACAGTAAGCGAACAAACTATTTAATTTATATTTGAAATGGACTGTTTCATATATTATATAAAACAATATCATTGGGCAGATTTCGAGTCAAATTACGAAATTTTTGTGTTTAAGTGAAAATGATTTCGTACTTAAACATTTGCCATGGTTTTTAAAATGTAGTGATAAAATGAAACTCAGTGGTTTCGGCTTTTCAACAAAGTTGTATAACGGTTTTTTTTTCATTACATTGTTATTATTATTTTTTTTTTTAAAGGAACACCCTTTTTATTATTATTAAAATGAAAAACTCTTAAAAAGCACGCTTCTATTATACTTTCAGTATTTAGAAAACTGGTAGTTTTTTTCAATCTCGTTAGAATGATATGGCCCCATTGAAGATTTTTATCTCTCAACGGTTTTACTTAAACTGTATTATACAGCGATAATTTAAAAAATGTTCAGTCATGCATGTTTTTGACAAAACTATTTTTAGGCACATTAAAATAACCATTTTTTTCGAATAACAGACTACATTAATTAAAAACGAAATTAACGGAACGCCTTTTTAACAACGACTTAAATAATAATGAATAATCTATTTTATAAAAATGAATGGGATCAACAAATGACAAAAATATCAAAAACATTATTACTACGTTATGAATTTGTTAGTTTATTTCTTAATTGTCCGATCCTAAATATCTAAATATAAATATAATGTAAATATCACTCCATACATCTAAATAACCTAAGTCCGACTGTTTAATAATAATTGTAAGTAAAAAAAATATATCTAATTTTTAATGACAAATTAAAAAAAAAAACGTTATATTTCTCATTCGTATTATAAAGGGTGATTATTTTACCAAATATTTTTCCTTATTTAAAAAAAAAACTAGTATTTGAAAAAAAAATAATTAAGCACTTATTTTTGAGTCACTATAACATTTAAAAAAAAATGTATGTATTAATATTTTTTATCGTTATCAGTTGTAAGTATTTTACTGTTATATTTATTTTACTGTATTATATCAGATCATACCTACATTTCTAATTTCATATTTCCAAGTAGAAAATTATTTGAAGTTAAAATCCAAATGAGTGACGCATAGCTATAATTCGTTATAAGTATTTAAATGATAGATGAACGGAGGAGTGAATCAATATTTTTCTGGTACTCATGGACGATAGTCTAAACTCTAAATGTTAAAATATTATTATAACTGATACGCTTATCGTACACAATTCTCAAACATATTACCTATAATCGATGTACCCTCAAAAATAATTCACTTTTAAATGGAAAATAAAAATGTATGATGTCGATAAAATAAAAAAAAACTTATGGCATTTTAACGGTAAAAATAGATCTACATAGTATTAATATACCATATTTTAGTTACCTACCAATGTTTATTTTTGTTTTATTTATGCGTGTTTCTAGAAACGAGTGAATGCTAATGAATTTCAAACGTCTAGCGATCAAAACTACGTGCTCCTGGTGTCAGACGAGAAAAAAGTAAGTGAAACGCACCCAGTTTCAACGCATTTTGGCAGACAAACGTCGTACGTGCGACAATGATACTAATATTATTATTTAATATAATATTTACGTTGTGACGTGTACGGTGTACATAACAATAATATATATTATGATAATGTATTATGATACGCATGTGGAGTTTGAATGTAATTTTGTTTTCACGTACTTCACGGTTAAATCGCTGTGAAATCCGTAAAAACGAAAAATGATTACGGCTGTACGAATATGGGTGTTGGCCGAGTATGATTTATGAATATGGCCGCGATAACGCTGGCCGAGTATTCCTGTAGATATAGATAGGTTTTTCGCCACCATCGTGGTTGTTCTCTAGCGTGTTTTAGGCTATTTGTCGCAGTAACCGAACCGAGATATTGCCACTTACCTTTTTCTTTTTTTATTTATGCCCCGAAAAATCACCTAGACCACTCACTCTCTTTCTCTCTCTCTCTCTCTCTCTCTCTCTCTCTCTCACTGTTTCCACATGTATCTCCGTCATTTCTCGCGCACCCATCCACCCTTACGCCGAAACACACTCAACTCCGAACTCTGAATATACCAAATGAACTGTAAAGACAAAAGTTTTTGTCTGCCGCACACCGTACCGGTATCATTAGTTATCGTTTTCTGAACGATTTAACCCGCACTCGTCGGCTGATGGGTCCCATTCGTAATCGTACGAACTTCGTTAGCAGGATACACACACACACACATAAGCTCGCGTATTTATACGTACTGTATATCATATAATTTATAGGTATTGTATATATTGTATAACAGATCTATAGAGGAAGCTTTGTATCGTCGAAGGGTGCGATACGCATAAAGGCGAAAACTATTTTTTTTTCCATTTCCCGTACAGAAATATTTGTTCATCCCTTGACCGCAGTTCGACGAACTTTAGGGTCCCAATTTCCTGCATACATCGCACATTTCGTGGAATGAGAATTTACCGTAATTCGCTTGCACGTGGACGATTTTTTTAAGCTTCGAGTTAAAAAATAAATAGTAGGTAAAGATATTCCAGAAAAAAAATAATAAAAATTAAATATGTGCTGTATATTTCAAATTCTATAAACTGTTGACGTAGTACTATACAATGTGCATTCCCATCGGGATAACTTTATGAGGTTTTCATTATAAGAACTGTCAGTGTTTATGCAAATTAACGCAAAAGTCTGTCACTGATTTGATTTTGGTCCTTCTGTTTTTACTGAAACTAGGTAAACACTGTGTTATTAATTTTTTTTATTTTTTAGAGCATCGTTACAATTTAACATTAACAACAACTACGAGAAAATCTAACTTTTAATCCCCTATCATAAATGTTGTATGTTTAATGTTTATAAACGACATAAAAGTTAGGTTTTAATCATGGAGGTACAAAACTTTTGAACAATCAAACACAGTACTCTATGTTATTATTACAATGTAGGTATATAATATATATGAAAAGTCTATCCGCTTAAACGATTTCATAAAAATGTACTTCAAAGGCATATAAGTATATATATATATTATATCAAGTGAACAGTCAAACAGTACTTTAACTAAATGATAAATAAACAAAAGGACTGAAATTTAATTCCATAATTAATGCCGTAGTATTGATGGGAAAATTATCCAATTCACAAGCATTATTCAGTGATTATACTATAATAGGTATTAATTATTGTTTTCTAATATTCATAGTAATATAACTCATACCTTTTAAATTATGAAAAGCTATACATAATATATTTAATTAATTTCTCAATTGGTGAATGAAATATATGGATATTAAGTTAAATTAGAAAATATTTAAGAAATAAATTGTTTATCTGCCGTACAACTACAATAAATATTAATAATATATAAAATTGAATGTTAATTAATTAATTTTTGATAATAGTTTTAATTTCGGTAACACAAACAATATATAATTTGATAGTTTTAAAGTCTTTATAACTCCTTCTTAACGATGTTAAAAGTATTATGTGTTGTACTTACTACCAACTTTCATTTTAAATATAATTACACAGTTATTTTTTAATTTGAAATTGATTTTAGTAGAAATCATGTCAATATTGAAACATTTTTTCACTGATATTCAAATCAAATGAATAATAAATACTACGGTGAATGGAATCTGACGAATGATACATTTAAAAAAAAAAACAAAATGGAGTGTAATAAGATTAATCGGTTTCAAATTAATATTATTAGAGGGAGTTTGACCCGATGGAGATAAAAAGAAACAATAATAAATTACTAAAAGCACTTTGAATCTGTTACAAAAATACATTTAAAAATCGTTGAGCAAATAACTGTCAAACTTAATATTATCTAATGAATTATACCAATTTGTCATGCTATGTTTCCGGGTTTTTTTTTCGGAAAATTCAATATTTTTCTATAATTGGATTTTTTTTCCTTATAGTATTGTATTAAGAAATGTTTGTGTGTATAGTGATTGTATTATATTGTCTTGCTCGGGCAATAACCAATAAAAAGTCTTATAGCTTAAACTATATTATAGATTTGTATTTTGTTATTTTGGTAGGTACATAAAACGAATGTATAGACATGGTATATACAAACCGAATAATATTATTATTATACATACAAATGAAAATCCGTGTGGATTCCATGCTACCGTGCACAAGTACAATATTTTACAGTCGACTTTATTGAAAACAATACGATAGGTTGGGTTGGAAAATTCAAAATAAAATTCGACGAATAAAAATAAAACAAAAATTTCTAATACGAAAAACACTTTTGCAGCGAACTCTCGAGAAATGGACGTAAAATGTTTTGGACCAAAAAACGATAAAGTTAAAATGGATGTTTGATTTGCATAAGCCAGAATAAAAAGTTTTCCGTCAACGTCACGTCCATGCGCGTATTGCCGTTTTTCTTTGGCCCGTCGACGTTTGACGTAAACGACGAAAAGAAAAAATGTTTTAATATGTAAATACTACACACGCCCGTATATAATGGTAATGTATACGTGCATATTCTATGGACGTACCCACGTCAACCGAATGCCCCGGAAAATGAAGAAATAACGAATACTCGATAATATATTCGGAAAAAAAAAAAACGAAACGAAAAGGAATGACGTTGGAATGGTCTTTATAGTTATTGCGGTTGATGTATTGACGACCGAACGTGTATTATACGAACTTCACCAGTGGAATTACAAATTTGAAATTACCCACAGCCACGTTTGAACAGGCCCCGTGAGCGACTAAAACAATACTGCCCGTAAACCGAAATCCGATTGATGTTCGAAAAATAAATAATATCCGTACCATAACCGTGGTAGATAATATGTAAATGCTATTAGTTGCGGAGCTCTGTACAATATTATATTATAATATTACATTATGTATTATTGTACTTGCGTAGATCGTTTTCTTTTTGGCTTTTTCCTTCTCATCTCGTTTCGACTCGTCAGTCAAACTTTGACTGTCAAATATTCCGTATATTGTATATTTTAGATGACCACTGCAGAACAAGATTATCCTGATTATTTCGTTTTTTTTTTTAATATCATATCCAATTAGTACCAAACTAAATGTTTTGACTTCGAGAATTTAATCAGAAAAACATAATAATAATATTAGAATATTATTGATCAATAGTGTTTTTCACTTGACATTTGGTTTTTTGAAGTATACTCGAAATTGTATAAGTGTAATTCATGACTCGGTTAGAATGTACTTGGAAAATAGAAACGAAACGAAAACAATTCAATGGTCTTTGGTTATTTGCGTCAATATATTGAGAACCGAACGTGTATCATGCACTTCACCTGTGGAATTACAAATTTTAAATTACTCGGCTCTGCTCAACATTTGGACAGGTCCCGTGAACAACTACAACAACTAACCGAAATCCGATTGATTTTTGCAAAATAAATATCTGTACGATCACCGTGGTAGATAAGTACCTACAGTATTAGTCACAGAGCTTTGTATATTATTATCAGTGTTTGGAAAGAACGTCGTTCATGAACGCACATTCACGAGTTCACGTTCATATGTAGTGAACGATACGTGAACGTCACTGGTTTTTTTTTCCAAATAGAACGTGACCGTAGAACGAAGTTTATTTTTAATGAATTTGATCGATTTTTAAGACGTTCAATTTATTTACCATTTAATAAATATTATATGTATAAGATATATTAATCAATTATATTATAAATTATAATAGTAATATTTTCATTTTCCCATTATAATTCCTAAATATTTGTTTGAATGCAAAATATATAAATTAAATATATAATATTGAAATTATAAATATAAATATTGAAATTTCTGTGTCCCCGGCTAGACATACAACATCAATACCATTATGATTTCCACGAATTCGTAATAAACCTAATCGGTATTCAGTATTCGCTTAATTTTATCACTAGGAAATCCTTATCAAAATGTAACTCAAATAACGTGTCGGATATTAAAAAATAATATTCAGATACTTTATAAATTGTATATATGCTCCAAAGTCTAAGTTGTATTTTTATTTTTTGGTGGAGTCGTATAATATGTTTATGGGTTTTTAATTTTTATATTGACTGCAGGCTAACGATTCATAAAAAAAAAAATTAAATGAACGACCCAATGAACGCGTTCGTTTTTTAAAAGAAAGTGAACGAGTTCATCTTTCTGGTAAACGTTCCGAACACTGATTTTTATATATGTGTAATAATATTATCTACTCACTTAGATCGTTTTCTTATTGCCGTTATACTTCTCCTCTCGTTTCGGCTCGTCAGGGTTGGATACGATTCGTCCGTCACCCTTCTTATACGTCTAATATATGGCGACCTCGTCGTTTTTTTCAAAAAAAATATGTCATCGATATCGCCGAAATACACATCTACACAGGTACGACCCTTATTATACACTAGTACGCCGAGTTTATTATATTATTGGATTACAATTTTTTGTCGGAATTCGATTCCCATTCCGATCGTTTATTTTATGCACATGTAACACACGCAGATGATAGACTCAGTTAGACTATATTATACTATCTTTTTTTTTATTAATATGATACCAATAGTAGTCTTTAGCGTTTTATTATACGTTTCATATTTGCATTCAATCGTTATATTATTCAACTGAAAAGTATAAAATATCACCGATTCTTTTCTTTTTTTTTATTTTTGTCGTTGATGCAGTGACTGATTGTTTTCATAAAAATAAGCGGACACGTACCCACGTTAAATTGAAAATACTTTAGGTAGGTACTTTGAAGAAAATAATGACTTCTCAGATGTATCGGTGTGCTGCCAAAGTATTTTTAAAAAAAAATTGTGTAATAAATGTATTTTTCATTTTAAATGTCAGCAATACTAGGAAGCTGTTGGTTAAACAATAGTAGTAGGTATTTGTTGTTTTAAGATTCTTTTGAATGAAAATTGAATTTAAAAATTGAATATTTTAAAATTTCCAATGAAACACACAATAATAAACCAGGATTATTAATTAAATTGACTTACTTAAAAATTGTACATTAGTTAAATTTTCATTAAGAAATTTCAAACTTTATAAAAATAGTTTAAAAATTACAATCAGTAATAATAAAATAAGTATCATTAATAATAAATATAATAGTACCTAACCCTAACTCATTTCTAACACAAACAGCAAACACGAGTGTATTATACAGGGTTATTTTTTAGTCATTGAATACTCATTATTTCAAAAAGTATAAATGTTTTTGATAATATTTTTGCACATAGTTTTAAATAGGTAGTTACAAAACAACGTTTTTATTAAAAAAATATATTTTTAAATATTTTTTATCCTTAAAATTTTGTAAGATTTTTAATTTTTTGAATGACAACATAGTTAAAATTTTTTATTCCTAAGAAGAATATTTTTCTAAGTATTCTGATACATAAAAATCGAATTTACGATGAGTAGTTTATGAGTTATAATAGTATTTAAAGTATAGTTGAGCGAAATGGAGTGGTGCGGGTTTAGTCCGCAAAATGTTTGTCCACAATTGTGCCCATATACATTTTTAATACTTCTTACTCACATATTACTAGCCCTAAGTTCGATTTGTATATTTTCAAAAACACTAAAAAGTAAATTTTACAATTTTTGAAATAATTAGTGTTCAATGATAAAATAATCACCTTATACAACTATTTGGAGTTCGACAAATGCAACATAACTATAAAAGTAAACCAAAGTGTTTTTCCTTTTTTACTATCACCACCTAAGTTTAGTACCTTGTCAGTTTTTAAAATTGTCAGCATCAAATGGACATATTTATTGTAAATAATAATCAACAATTTTAAAAGAAAATGCATACATTTTTTTTTTTTTCAGAATATTTAACTACTATTCGGTTTATGTACATCGTATTGTATAATATGTTACTCTGTACTCACATAGGTACTGTTGATATAATATATTACAAGTACAAATAAAAAAAAAAAAAACATAGTAAAAATAAAATTGTAGTTAAAATGTATAGAACGGCCGTCGTTAATAAAGTATATTATTACAGTTGTTTGCAATAATTAAATTTGTTCTCGTGATTCTTATGTTCCATACGATTATTGCATGTCACATAATTTCTTATTTAACTTTCAAAAACAGCCAACTACTGTAGTCGAGTGTTTGTCATTATGTATAATTACATTATTTTATTTTTCCGGTTCTAGGAAACCTTGTTCCGTTACAATTCGATGGATTGTAAGTAGGTATTGTAAAAATAATATTATGTTATTCAACTCCCTAACCATGTTCAAATAACAATAAAATTAAAATATTATGGCAATTTCCGTTTTTTTTCCTTTAAAATACTTGTAAATAATTATATAATAATAGTACAATAATTTTGCGTGTGGATTTATTAAAATGAATGAGTGTGTACGTAAACATAATATTATACAAAATATTATACATCAGGGCAGGGTACCTACGTAATAAATACAATATAGGATGAATTATTTATTATCTTGATAAAAAAAAAAAACATATATATTATATCGATGGCGTAGCGCACAAGTGTGATAAGTGACATTTTCGTAATTGTTCAGGAGAACGATTTTTAAGTTTGAGATGTAATAACAAATTCAAAAATGTAACGAACTGTACGACATCTATCGGAGTAAATAATGAACTATTCACTTACAACGTTTGGGCATAATGTGCAGAATTGTATGATTAAATTGATTATGCACTTAACTCATTTTTCAAAAAATGTCACTTATCACACTTGTGCGCTACGCCATCGATATATATTATAAATCTGGCCTATCCGGATTAGCTGCTCGGTATTTGAATATTAAACCAAATTATTCAAACAAAAAACTGACTGCCGGTCTGTTTTATATACCGCACAATTTTTGTACACTTTACGAAAAAAATGTAACCTCTTTTCGGTAGTTTTTTTTTGTTTTTTTTTTTTTTTTACCTGTAGTTTCCATACCTTATTTTTTTTCTAGACCTCTCTTTAAAAAAAAAAAACTCTTGTAGAACATAAACTTTTACTTCGATCCTCGGAGAATTCATTACTGCACCTTGCCGCCATCACTGTGTAGTGTACATAACGGGCAAAATGTACATTTCATCACGAACGTTTATAATGGAGACCCGTTAGCGTTATGAGCAATGATATACGTATATAGTGGACTAGCTTAATATATATTTTAAGAACGAATTTACATTTTTATGACGCATTTGGATACATGTCTGCCACGCGATTAAGCTTCACGACAACCGTTACCATGGACACCGGGTACAAAATCACGACTTAATACGTAATAAAAAATCATTTATAAAACATTTTTATTAATTTTCATTTTGGATTTTTTTCATTTCAATTCAATTCAACCGAATTAAAAATAATGTTATGTTTATCGGTGCGCGTAGTTTTCGTTTTATTAGTAAAAACTTAAAAATTTGAATAAAAAAATTATAGTCATTAATGATCAAATTACATTACTAAAAAATATTTCCAGAATTATTCATTATGGTTGGTCCTGTTATAATTTATAAATATATACAGATAGCCAAGCTTGAAGAGTCCTGAGTATTGTATTTTGTAGAAAACTACATAGCAAGCTCTCGGTCCTGATTATTACGTTTATTTTTGATATCTCAACTCATGTAAATATTATGTTTTCGAGACTTTAAACAGAAAAATATTACAATAAATAATAATATTATATTTATTATTAGTATATTTCACATACAATTTGATTCTCTGAACTACTTTGCAATTTTACATCTGTTTTTATTAAATATTTTTCTATATTATTATTATTGGTTATCACGATTCTATAATGTATTCATTGTAACAATTTAACTAGAAATGCACTTTCATAATAATATAATACAAAATAATAATGGTTTTTAGTGTTTGCTTTATTATTTATTATGCTATAGGTGTGCTTTATAGTTTAAACATATGAAACACAAAGTCAAGCCGAAATCCTACGTATAGTTTCAGATACTAAGCAGTTTATTACGGTTTTTTGAAATTTAATAATAAAAACTTAATTAAGTCACAGATGTTTATGTCTACTATTATACGGTCGACTACCCACAATATTTTAACATGGTAGTACGAATAATATAATAATACGGTATATTTACTCTACCTATAAAGTGAAGTATTATTATTGCACCGAATGTTCAACACTTCAAATTCAATTATAACCCGAAACAATACTGATGGCGCGATGATGAAATTATCTATAACGATTTATTTCCAAGTCAATTTTCTACTATTGTGCAGTATTGAAATTTTCGAAAAGTAATCTAGAAATAATCGGCTTAGAACAGATTGAAAGGGGGGTAAAATATGAATTCCGACCATGTTAGTCAAATGTAGGTTCATAAAAATATTATATTATATTATAATATTGGTGTGTATAAAAACGTGGGAAAAAAATAAATCTCTATTTTCATCTTCTGAAATAACAGTACTAATACTCTATAGCGATTGCAGTGTTGATACCGAAATAATAGTAATTTTAAACTGTAGTTTTACCCGAAGTTATTATTGCAATATTAATATCATAGGACGTAAATACCCCCGCTTGTGCGTCAATATTAAAAAAAAAAAAAAAAGCTCTCGACATTTTACTCACTCGACATTTTTCGGTTTTTCTTAGATTTACACGAACACGCGGGAGGCCAAGTATCACGTTTTCGAAGTGTCGACCCAGTAAGTGGAAGGGCGAAAACACCTCAGTGCCACCGGATCCTCCATGTATGTCTTATTAACTGGGGTTTTTTTTCCTTGCCTTTTTCCACAGAAACGGCGTACCGCTCATGACCGCCTCCAAAACGGTGGACGATGGCGAGCAGATTTACATACAGAAAGCGCAATGGTCGCCGACGGGCAGTGGGCTGGTTTTCGTGCACAAGAACGATTTGTACTACAAGATCCACGGTAACCGGCACAGCAGAGTGGTCAGGATCACGGACACGGGTACGCCGACAGTGTTCAACGGCATACCGGATTGGCTGTACCAGGGTAAGTGGCGGATTAGTGATAGTATATTATGTCATCACAGTATTGTCATCGTTATCGGTGCGTGACTCGCGAGTGTGAGACATGATAATAGTATGTGAGTTCGACGGCACGAAAAGGCAATCATAAATTGTAAGTTGTAAATGAGAATATTATATTTTCAAAGATTTTCCAGGAGTGCTGGTGTAAATAATTTATCAATAACGAAATTAGGCGAAACATCACAAACTTCTCGTGTTTAAATGATTTATAAATCAAACGAATAAATTAGAGAAAAAAAGTTATCAACGGGACTTACACCACTGGCAATGTATTCAGTACCTATTTTTTTCAAAAAATTTAATAATGAAAGAACACAGTCGGATTAAACAATATTATGTGTATAAACATTATTACGATTACCACAACACATTTTCACGTCACCATAATTTTTTATATTTCAGAAGAAATTTTCAAATCCGATAAAGCGTTTTGGTTTTCGCCATCCGGTCGGTATTTAGCTTACGCCACTTTTGACGATTCATTGGTCGGCGAATACAAGTATCCGGTATACAACACTAGATTCCAGTATCCGTATTATCAGTCGTTACGATATCCAAAGGTAGGTTAGGTTAATACCTAAATATATTATTATTTAAACAACATTTTCTGTTTAAATGTTCATAACATAATTTTTTTTTCTTATTTACATGGATTATTTAAATATATATATATATATACCTTTCATAAGATATGATAGTTTTAAATTAATTATTTGGTTTATTGCGGAGTGTTTGTTTTTTGTTTCTCTCACGAATAAGTAAAAACTGTAAGTTAAATTAATACTGTGATACATGAGTATTAATATATTTAGTACCTGTATAAATTATTATAGTTAGGAAATAGTTACATTTTCATTGAGGTATATAAGTTAATTTTTGAAATTAAAAAAATGGTTACCTACCTATAATTCTGATTTAAATATATTTATTTTATTTTTTAATAACTCTAAATTATTTCAGTAAAATGTATTAAATTTAAAAATGAAAAATAAAATACTGTAGGTACATTGTTAAATTAAAAATTATTAAAAACAACAATGAACATTGTATAATGAAAAGTTTTTAAACCACTAAGGTTATATTTAAATATAATATGAATGGTATTATATATATGTATAATGTTATATGATACACTTCAACTATGCAAATATGTAAATAATGTGTATATAATGTGCAATATATACTAAGTTGGACCATTTTTAATATATTATGCACACCTAATTAATTTCTTATGCATTTAAGCTCACAAGTTATTGCTTATTCCAGGCGGGAACGCCAAATCCAACAGTGACTGTGTGGTTGAGGGACTTGAAAAACGATAGTTTATCAAACGGCACACTATTGCAAAAACCACAAGCCTTACATATGGAAAGGTGAGATGAATTTTTTCGAAGGTGGGCGTTAGGACGTTAGGAAAAAAATTATAATTTTAGTTAATTTCATTCTAGTTACGTAAAAGTGACGTTATAAGAACCATTAGTTATCAATTAAAAATAATAAATGTTTAAATTTAATATTAACTTAACTCAGTCCAAAATATCTTAAAAAGTATAAAATGTTTACATTAAATATCTTTAATATTTTGTTTAACTACCACCTGAGTTTGTCATTATTTAATTATCATACCATTTCATTTAAAAAAATAAATAATAACTACATAATATTAGGTACCTAAATTGTTAAAAACTGTATACTATATAGCAGGTATTCTTTCTTATTGCACCCTAGCGATTATATCAGGCTTAGGCAATTACACGTTTGTATCATCTAAATTATTAAATCAACTAATATTTATTTGTTGATTTGTATATTTAAAATCATTTTAATCACTCATCCAATAAAAAAAAATAATATTAATTAATACATTTAAAACACCTACGCCTGTAAATTATAATGTATATTGTATAATCACAGATTTAACTGGTCGTATTATTTTTCAAATTAACTAGCTAATTAATAAGCTAACTTGTAACCATCGAGTCTTTAACTAGAATTATTTTATATAGAGTTTATTAAAAAATGTTTAAAAATAAATACATTTTTGTTAGTAATTCTTCGCCTTGCAATTTATTACCTAGAAAAATATATTTTATTGTTTGTATAAAATAAATTATATTTTATCATAATATTATTGTTGGTATTCTTTTTTATTGACTCAGATTTTACCACTTAATTTTTTTTTCAATAGTGAACCCTATTTGATGCATGTAAAGTGGGCAAATGAAAGACGTATTGGAGTAGTTTGGATGAATAGAAAACAGACGACAATGGTGATATCTGTATGCTCTGAGCCAAACTGGGAGTGTCAAGACGTGAGTATGAAACGATTAAGTGAATCTGTGACAGTTGTATGATAAATTGATCACTATCTAATTCCAATGTTATACTCACTACCACGTGATTGACATTATTATATAGTATGATATAATATGGAGACGGTGATCTAAAAATGAATATATTATTATAATTTATTATATAACTCACGGTTGATTTAAATAACAGACTGCTTGTAGATGGATAAGTGATTATATTATTTTTTGATATATTATTTTGTATAACGCGCCATCAGCATAATATTATTCGATACATCGACTGGTAAAATTTGTCTAAAAAAATTATGTTGTCAAACAGTTAAGCCTTCACTTGTTCGTGTGATCGAATAGATATTAATATTGCAGTTTGGATATTTAAAAAATCATTTGTTACGATTTCAAACAGTACATTAATTATTGAAAACAAAATATATTTTTTTATCTCCGTGTAGGTACCTACAACTAAACTTACTTATACTGTGACATAATAATATGTCGTTTCAGTCTTACGTGGAGAAAATCGCTGATGGAAAGGGGTGGCTGGAAAATACCCAAGTCGAGTTCAACGAGGAGGGCACTAGCTACTTGGCGATATTACCGGTACTTGATGGTCCACGTGGCACTTACCCACACATCTGCCTGGTGGACATATCCACAAAAATCATGCTGCCGCTGACGAGTGGAAGCTTTTGCGTCGTCCGAATCGTCCAATGGGATCAGACGAACCAGATAATGTAAACAATAATAATAATAATAATAATAATAATAACTAGTGCATGTAAAACAGAGTGATGAGAATTTTGTGCAACAGTACCTATATATTTTTTATCGTGATAAAAAATAAGAGTAGTAGCAAAATAGAGAAAAATGTTTGTAACGAATACGTTATAGTAGACGATAATCCAAAATAATTTCTAAGATTTAAACAATATTATTCTTAAACAATTAAGTTTTTTTTTTTTTTTTTGGTAAATCAAACGAAAGTTACTACTTAGTATGTAACCGTTATTATTGCTGAGGTCAGTAAATAAATTATTTTGATAATAATATAACACGTTATGAAATTATTTTTTAAACGTTCTATAAATCCAAACAAAATTTGCAGTGTCTGCATTATAATGAAATTCTCCACCCCAACATTAACGCTATCGCGTGGTTTAAGTTTATGACCATAGGCGACGAATCGGTATCGTAAAATATATTTTATTGATGATATTAATATTTTCGTGGTTCAATTGAATTATTATTATCGTCACCCAAGTCATTTCGAGGAGCAATATTATGTTTCCAACGTTTTAGTGGCAAATAGACGCGGTGTGACTGGTCGTGTAATGAGTACTTATAGGTAAAATTAGCGTAAAACCACAATCGACTATTTTATATGATAAATCCATAAAAGTATAAAATTTAATATTTAATATTCTACCAAATGGTTGAAAAATAAAAAAAAATGGTCATTAAAATATATAACGATATATTACGTTCGTAGGGGGACGCATTGGATGAGAGTGATAGCAATTTAATGAAAACTTACTTTACTGTGGTATCACAGTAGTTGTGTCTGTTCGAAACGTTCAATTATTATTCGCTTTATTGCGGTATAATTGTCGGTGAATAATTTTACACTTTAGAAACGCTAAATTTCATTTGCAGATACTTTGAAGCGATACCGGAGGGAAAACCGTCGCAAAGGCATTTATACAAAGTGCCCGATAACGTAAACAGCACGGCGGGCTGGGAATGTATGACGTGCCCTCCGAGCGGACCACAAAAGAATACTTCCAAAATGGACATTTCCATGAGTTCGGATATCAGGTAAGTCTGAAACTCCGTTATAATATTAATATCGATATGATAATCATCTGACAGTAAGTTATTGTGTTGTTGTGCATCGCGTTAAGAAAAAAGAGCATAATTTAAAAATTGCATAGGTTTTTCTTTTTTTTTAATAAATCTTACAACAGTGGGTAGCTGTAAACTATCGTCCTTCCTCTTGAGTGCGCTATCGTCTACCGTCGTAATGTATGAATTATTCAACAGATGGAGTTATATCATTTATTTTTTCACAGCGACTCGTTCCGGTTAAGTCTTAAGGGATTGGAGACGTCGAAACTTCCACAAGACTCGTGGCCAGTGAGGACAAATTCATGCCTATATGTCCGATCTCATTTTTGTCGGCACCCCAATTCCAAATACTACGTTTTAGAATGTTTAGGTAAGTGTTAGTTTAATTTCAGTAAATATTAAATATAATTAATTAATGTGTCGAATGCCTAGCTGTTGTTATTTCAAAAAACGATGAAAAAAAAAAAGGTTGGACGGCAGGCGTTGTCATGCACATTATAAATTAAATTTAAGTTATTATACAACTATAATTAATCTATATTATAGATTAAAATATTGTATGAATATAATCATTAAGTTACTCGATACAAGCAAATAATTATTTCATAAAATCTACTTATATATTATTTATCAATTGAATACAATATTTAGGAATTTTCTGCGTCATAATCTATTATAAAAAAATTATGACACCTACTGTATGTTGATATATTGTTTGTACAAGGCATGGAGTGTTCATAAAAGTCTCTATTGCTATTATATTCCATTATTTTAAGTTTTTTTTGGAATGTTTTAATTTACTGTACACATTATATTGTATTTATCTTAAAATATAGTAATTATGATATGCACGTTTATATTTTAATTTTTTAGTCTAATAAAAAACATGATTAGCCCAAACATCGTTAAAAATTAAAATGTTAAGCAACTTTATAATGAAATGAAATACAACTTAAATAACTATCAGGTACATTTCAAGATATTAAAAAGTTAAAGTTATAAAATTGTATAATTTCGTAATTTGTTTAAATTAGTCAGGTTAAATTATTGGTTAAATTTTAAACTTCATTCTTTAATATTTTCATTCCTACTGAAAGTTTTTGCTGACCATCATATTATCTCATAATTAAACACGGTTTTAGGTCTTGCAATTTGTTTTTGTTCTAAGTAAAAATTAATGTTAAGTACGGTAGGTAATATAAACAATTTCAGATAAGATTCAAAATTTTCTTCAGATACCGCCTAACTTCTGGATGTAGTTTATATATTTTATTCCCCTTAGTTAGGTTCCGTTCTAACTTGAATGAAGATATGTTTTCCACAAAATTTGGTAAAACGAAAAAGGGTATTTCGTGATGTTAAAATTACAATAAGATGATACTATTATTTATGAAATTTGAATTTAGTTTGTTGATAAAATATGCGTATTTACAATAATTATTAATATTATGATTATTTTACTGTCAACACAATGAACATGAAATAGTACTTTTTGGTTATCACTTATTGAGTTCTACTATGTAAATATAGGTAGTAATATAAGAACTAAAAGGTTTTATTTAGATCTTTATTAAATACCAACATTATATAAGTACCTAATATTATTGATCCATTATTAGCATTGATTCAGCACTTTTTAGTTCTAGATAATTGTGCAAATAATGAACCTACATGGTTGTTTTGGAGCTTAATTGTGGATCAATACTAACTTAATATATTATATTATTTATAAAAAGTGGATTTTTTAATAAAATGTATTTAGCACATTTTGGTTGATCAATGATGTTACAAAATTGCAGATAAATAACATTTCTAAATAGAGTGGTATTTAAAGATATTTTATAAAATACTTATTATTTACAGGTCCTCTAGTTCCAAAAGTGATATTGATGAACCTGCAGATAAATCAAAAAGTAATGATATTGAACAATTATACAGCTTTGGCAACTAAATATTCTGCAATGGCTAAACCTAACATACAAATAATGCAGGTAGATAATTAATAACAACCATAAACGGTGGGATAAGCCAATATGGGTTTTAAGTAATTATTGATACAAAAAAAAACAAAAATTATTTCCTCAGGTGGAGGTGGAGAGCGGATTTATAGCTCAAACCAAATTGATGCTGCCTCCTGCGTTTAAAGAATACGACGAAACCGCGTTTCCGTTTATTTTATACATGTAAGAATAGATATTATGTTGTAGTTTTTAGTTTTTTTTACAATAATATAGTAACATCATTATAATAGTAAAATACATTTGAATGTTTACAGTATGTTTGTTTTTTCTCCGTGGTAATTACACCATGTGCAAGGGGTAATGTCCCACTCAGAGCTCACTGATTTTACCGTATTACATATCATCACGGGGAGATTAAAAATTCGTTGTCCATCTATTTTCTACTCATACAAAAAAAATTTACCATATAGATTTTTACCGGGAGATTTCTGAATTTTTGTCCTCCAATTTTCACATTGCACAAAATATTTACCGTATTTTAAAATTACAGGGAGATATTGTGCACTCCAAATCGGGTTTGCCCCCTTACTCGAAAATATTTACCATATACACACCAAACCTTATCATAAAACTGAGATAATTATTTCAAGTAAAGAACACAAATTATTAAATAAAACATTTTTTTTATTGTTATAAATTAAATCTTAATTATTATATTTACACCAGTTTTCTTACTTCTCTGGTGAAAGGTACATACTCTACAATACTATCGTGAATTAATATAGGTACAATAAGCAGTTGTAATCGATTATGATGATTAAATTTCCAACTGAACATCGAGGCTGTGGCTGAATCGAATACTTTGAATATACAATTAATGTATACTACTTATAATACTATCCAAACAGTGACCGATTCATTTTAGATCTTTCGTGTATTGAGTCGGAATAATCTTTGATAGAATAATATCATGTTAACGTACATTTTGGGGTAAATAATAACATTTTTGTTGGTTACAGAAAAGGCAAGCCTGGCACTCAGTCGGTGACCGAAGAGTGGTCTGTAGATTGGGCCACGTACTTATGCAGCAACAAAAACATTATCATCGCCATAATCGACGGCCGTGGAACACTGGGCCAGGGTGACAGATCAAGAACATCAATTTACTATAAAATGGGAATCACGGACATCCAGGACCAGCTTTCGGTTTTGTTGTAATTACAGAAATTTAATTTACACTGCTTGTCCATTGTTTGATTACATGTGGTACGTGTATGGTATAATACAATTTTGATATACAGGTATCTCAAGGATACGATGAAGTTCATAGACAAAGATCGTATTGGCATTTGGGGAAAAGGATACGGTGGATACGCCACTGGAATGATTTTGGCCAAACAACCGGAAGTATTTCGATGTGGAATTGCCACGTCACCGATTACGAATTGGGCACATTTCGGTAATTTTATGATTATAATTATATTATCTAGCCTAATATAATGGGTATATTCGGTTAGGTAACTTTTCATTATGTAAAATCACATGCGTTCAGAGATAATTGATTAAAATATAATATTCCTTAGTTTATAATTTTATAAAACTAATTTTTGTTTTTTTTTTTACTTTTTTTTAAAAGAAAAATAATGTTTTGTCAATTTTCAAACCAATTTACAACAAAAACTGTTCTTCAATTATTGTTCATAATGAAATAATTTAAAAACAATTTGTATACCTAAATGTGAAAAAAAATATAAATACTTAACCAATTAACTAGGTAGGCATTCATTTCGAAACTTACAATGATGTCTATTGTTGTTTTAGATTCGGCTTGGACTGAAAAGTTGATGGGCACCCCAAATGTGACAGACAATTACCGTGGATACGAAGACTCGGATTTAAGCAAAAAAGCAATTACATTGGATAAAAAACTGTTAATGTTAATCCATGGCAGCGCAGATGAAACGGTTCATTATCAGCATAGCATGATGCTGATTAGAGCATTAACAGAAAAGGGAATATTATTCAGACACCAAGTGCGTGGTCATTCATTACTTTTTATTCTACAGTTTAAGTATAAGTTAGAAATTTAAAGAAGAGAAAAGTTCAACTAAAAGGCAAAAGCACAAACACAGAAGTAAAACATCATATCTAAATATTGTCAATTTTTTTAACGGTTAAAGAAAAACTATACAATATAGCTGTTAAAGAAGTTTATGATTAGTTTTGCAAACAATTGTACACATTTATTTTTGCTTAAATTATTAAAAATTAACTTAAAATTAAGTTAAATGAGTTGTAATAATGATATAATGTAGAAAAAATATTCTTTACGATTTGAATGATAAACATTTATTAAAATTAATGATTTCCTAAAAAAAACCTAAAAATAAACTACGCTGACTATTTTTATTAGTATTATTGAAATCAGTGAACTATATTATATCAGTACATATACTAAAATATATTTATATCAAGAATAATTATCAGTGCTCTCTAATTTATAAAATGCATAATATTTTTAATTGGTTTTAAATAATAAAATGTACATAACATTTATTATTATTGTGTATTGTATTAAATATAAATTTAAATAACAATTATGGTGTTTATAAGAACTGTAAAGAATATAATATTATTTACTATATAGTATATCCGATATACTCCGAATACTATTACAATAATTGCATAACATTTGTTAGGTAACAACTAAGTAATATTTAATAATAATTTATAATAATCATTTTATCGAATTTATACTATTAGACAACATTGTAAAGACAATTTTGTTTTATTTTTTTCAGACGTATCCAGACGAAGGCCACACTTTCGACGGATCAACTAAACATTTATTGCATGCTATGGAACATTTTTGGGACGAGTGTTTCGGTCCATTGGATTTTGACGACTGGGACGAGAGCCTAAACTTTTTTGCATTCACGCAATAATACAAAATATAAACCATATTGACCCAGTGATGTGTTTATGGCTGGGGGATAGGGGTATAATATACTTCCAGGGAGTAACTTATATTCCTATAAAATTTGTTGAATCTACATGAAAAAAAAAAACCTGTACATTGTTGAAAACAATTTTTTTTTTCAAGGATAATTGGTACTCACTAATTGTTGATAAAGTATATTGCTTATCAAAATAATAAGTTGTGATAACCATACATCAAATAGTTGCAGAATCTGTTATTTTTGACAGTATTCACAATCTCTTATCGGTACCTACATACAGGTGAATTTGCTTGGGCGTTGTGTTATCAGCTGTGTATTTATATAATCGTGGCAATCATTAATTTATGTTCTAGTATTTTATCATAGGAGCTTTTAAAACGATTCCTTATAATAATTATAATTGTCCTTATAATTACCTTCCCCCCTGGAAAAACAAAATGCTTATACACGCCACTGGATCAACCGATAATGTCCGTTAATGGCTTCAGAAAATGTATAATTCCGATCATATTAATATATTCACAGGGTTATCCATTTCATAACGAAATAAAACTAATTGTATTCCAAAAATAGACAGGCAGATATCTTGATCACGAAATTCGACAATTTTCAAAACAAGCGGAGTCTTAAAACAATAATTACACTGGTGTACGACTTTATTTTTGTACCACATAATCATTGAGAGCTTAAGGAATCAATCTGATGTATTTATTAACCATAGTTTACTGATCACAGTTGTTTATCGTCCTAAAATCTTTTTTCCACTAAATTGTTCACTAACACAGTGGTTACATTTCAAGTATATTTATTGTACAGGTTTCATTCAAGTGTACACTTTGCTTTTCCAATCAGAACTAACGGTTGAAAGTTTTTGCAACGACTACATTTATAAATTTGTAAATCGGACATATTAAATTTACTGGTTATCAAATTGTTTCGTGAAAAATAACATAAAAACAGTAAAATTTGTTGTATTAAATTTTGTCGATTTTCTATTGATTGTTATGTAGGATATCGAACACATTATTTGGCTCAAGTAATACTGTGATAAACGATTATACAAAAAAAAAAATTGTTGCAATGCGTCATAACAGTAAAACAATAATAAATACAACTTTTGTTATTTCTTAAATATTAATACTATATGTTATTATTTTATACAACGTGTATGAAATTATTGATAGCTAAAAAATCATATAAATAATTAACTGCCTGAACATCAGTGTACATTCATTTTGAGAAAAGCTAACAGGTTGTTAGTAAAAATTACTTTTTAACGAACCAGTTCATTCAAAAAAATATTATTAAATACTAAACAATAATCACTTCAACCGTATTATGTTCCTTGAAAATATGATATCATCAAAAAAAAAACTATTATTGATACACAATGTCTAAGGACTAAAATGTTATTTTATTTTATGTTATTAGATGTTAAGCAGTAAAGACATTTTAATTTCTGTGAAAAAAATGTATGCCTATTAAACATTTAAGTAATTATTTAAAAGTGTCTTGTAATATTCAAAACTGAATAATACATTTCAGTGAGTTTAAGTGATTGGAATATTCATTGATAATTGTTCAGTATAATGTATCTATCCTAGTGCTCGATACGAGTTGATCTGTTGTTATTTGGTATACACAAAAAAACATTGTTATTATATAATTATATTATTTATACATTCCTTTAGTAACTAAAGTTTAGCAGGTACTTATACAGTTTTGTGAATTGTGTGTATTAAAAAATCATGTTTAATAATATTGCAGATAACTTTGAAAATAATTAAAATACTGTATAGAATTATTAATTTAGTACTAAGTAAACTAAGTATTATGAGCGTGTTAATTTTACTTTGGAAAAAATCCAAACTAAATATACAATTCTAACCAATATTAAAAATGTATTTTTTTGTATGAATACATATAATATTAATTAAATTACAATAATTTCACTTAATATTCAACGTTAAACTACTGTTTTGCGAAAAAAAAATAGTCCATATTATGAAATATTATATTGTAAGAAAAAAAATGAGGAATAATCGATTAAGAAAATTATTATGTATCCCAGTTTTTGGATCTTTTTTGTGTAAAATTTTATTTTTATATATCTCAAATGTTTTAGATATATTGTTGCTTGTGATGAATATTGTTTTATGTTAATTTTGTAATGAATATTTTTTTTCTATCACCATTTTACGTTAAGAGTTTTACCAAAGAGGTGACTGCAGACTGATTAATATTTCCATTAAGCCTTCATTTTCGTATTAAATTTTCCAATATCACACTTTATCTTTATAACAATATTAAATCATAATTCCACTGAAAAGCTGCTGCCGTTTAATTAAATTGTATTTAAATATATGTCTAAAAATGGTATTACATACATTCCAATCTTAAATATTTAGAACATTTAACAGACCTATACTGTATGGCTTTTCAAAAAGTTGATACTTTTTTGTTTTATTCACACAAATTGTATACTTTAATATCGCAATATTATTACCATAATTTTCTTCGTTTATCTGCTTAATTTGTCTCCCCCCCCAAAAAAAAATACATAGATACACCGTGAAAACAAATTCTATGGTATTATATATATATATGTGATTTCAATCTAACATAGGGTGAATCAGTAGTTTTTGAAACATTATAATTTATTGAATGGTAAATTATATTCAATTTTAGCTTTACAGTTGCTATGATAATATTATTATTACCTACGTCCATCGGTCCAAATGTCCCAACATTGATGACGTTTTCCATTAAGATTTGATCTCTTGGTTTTGTTTAATACGAATAATTTGGCTGTGTTTTGATATATATATATACATTTCTTTTTCGTATAGTTGTTGTGTTTAGCATCGTTTTAAAATTGCATGCAATGAGCCCGAGGTGCCAAAGTCCGTCCAGCGCGTATAGCATAAACAACGGTTTATGTCTCGGCGACTATTTAGATTAGATCGCACGAATAGCTCTCTACAATAATAATAATATTATAACAATATTATTACTGTGGACTAAATATGATAGTAAGCGAGAACCCAAATACATAACTACAATGATATTATTATAATAACTTCTTTACTCGTATAATGATAATATTATATTATTATTATTCTTAGGTTAAAGTTCCTCGTAATATTAATATAACATTATACTGTAGGTTGGCTTCGGTTTTCGTTTGAAAATGTTGAAAACATATCAAATAAAACATTCTTTCGATTGCAATGTAACGATAATAATAATATGAGTTTCCTATATTTTATTCACCAACACTTGATTCAGCGGCGATACAAGTGTTGAACGCTTTTGTGTAGTAGGTAATTAGTTGTTTTAAAATGATTTCGTTACAGCGTTTTGTTATCGTATTGTTATGTATGCAATTTATAAATACAAATATAATATATATATATATTTTTTTTTTAGTTGAACAAAAACGTGTATCTATTAAAAATATTATGTATTGTCTTAAAGATATCGCCCTGAGTTCACACACAGGCTAATGTTTATGTTAAACGATAAAAAATACAACTAATACAATACGACGTGTAGATGTATTGTATTGTTTTTTAGCTATATTATATATTATTATTACCCACATAAAAAATATAAAATTTAAAATGTAATATTTGTAACTTAACCGTTTCATATTTATGCTTTGAATGTATAATGTACTTTAATTACCGCATTAATAATATAAATTTATATTACATGGTTATAATCTGTTAAAATTATTAATACTATATACGGACTTAAAAAAATGATTTACATATTGTGTGTTTCTAATAAATAATACGTTTAAAACAATTTTAACGTATTCCTAAGTATACGGTCTTATGCGTGTGATTTATTTATGTTAATATTTAAGAGTTGTGTACTTATTGAAAATTTTATAAACCTTTTACCGTTTTAATGTTTGCGCCGTTATGATGTAATGCATTATTATTATAGTACACTGAAAAACAAAACAAAACAAATAATAAGAATATAGTATTTATTCATTCATATAGACTGAACTGATTTTTGATTAAATGGGCATTTTCCCTACTATAACACCAAATAATTATAAAATTACCAAAAATATTCACCATTAATACCGGTCTGATAATAATATATTTTACTTTCTCATCAATTAGAATTTTTTTTTTTTTTTTTTTAATAGGTATACTATAAAATTTAAAAATGTTTTCTATACTGATATTCATTACAAGTAAAAACTCTGAAAACTTAGACTTAAAAATAGATTAAAGAGTTGCATTTAGTGTCTGGGTATTTTATCATTGTTATTTTGTAGGTTAAAGTAAATAATTATAAGTTTTAGGGAACGCAAATTTTTAAAAATTAATTGTTAGTCTAAACAAAAATAATAAAAAAAATAATTCCTTTAATAATTAATTAAAACATTCTACTGGATGTTTGTATATTATATGCGTTAAATGAAAACTGTTAACCGTCAAGAAAAATAATATGAATACAATAGTCTCAGATTAACTCAGTTCAAATAGTAGTACCTAGTTGTTAAACAACTGAATTAGACTTTTAAAGCAAATCTTTTGTTATACCTGTCGTTTATTTATAATCAATTAGTACATGGACAGTAAAAATACAAGTTTTAAGCAGTATACATGGTTAAACATTCTCTATAAGCATTAGCTAATGAATATTAAATTTAATATTAACACTCACAAAGATAGAAAGCAACAAACTTTATTCTCGTCAATAGATAATGCTTCAACGAAGATGCTAACAATGTGTTCATTGGAATTTAACTCTCAATAAACTGTATAGGAAGTGTAGACAGTGTTTTTGTTTTTAATTCTACATAATTATAATATGTTGAATAGAAAACTTTTTAAACAAGTAATTTTGATATGATTTATACACTTGGAGTAGCCGGCTAGGAAGCTAATAAACCAACCTAAATTAGAACATTAAAAGGGGGTAATGAGCTAACTGTTGTACAGTTGTCAGTTATTATAGTA